CCTTCTCTCTCTCTCTCTCTCTCTCTCTCTCTCTCTCTCTCATCAGGTCATCAGGGCTACCAGAGGGGGGAATAAGGGGGAGGAGGATTGGGTTTCTGCTGGCCGCGTGGCAAAACAAACCCAGCCGCTGAGTGGAAGGCGCGCGCGCCGCCCTGTCCGCCACCGGTAACCCAGTCACACAGCGAGAGCCTCACGGGGCGAAAGCCTTGTTGTACTCCGTTACAGTCCAAGCGCTGATGTAAACTGACAACAAAAATGTGAGTTGTGTCGGCCAGATAACATTTTTAGACGGTCCCCTGTGGCTTCCCTACCCGTAGGTAAAAGTTTCCCATTTACGGAAAGACTGCCAATTGTCGTTCTAGTTTTGATAATTTATCGCTTTCATTTTCTGCGAAACCACACGGTGATAGCTGGCCCAGTCACGACATAATAATCGCTATGGTCATTGGTCATATTCTGATGCTAAAAAAGAGCCTGCCGGAGTTCAAATGCATGGTAACATGATAACAATAAAGTTATGTAATAAAAATGGGACAAGGCAGGTTTCTTTTTTTCGGTGAGGCCGCACATGTGAATGCATACACGCGCAACATTTCCGTGTCCCGGGGGTGATGGAACCAACGCGTGCGTGTAGTTGAGTATTATTTTCATTTAAACTTTTTCGCTGTGCGCGTCGCCGTTGTTTTTGTTGGCGCATCCGCAGTTGTTGCAACAACATTTTGTCATTCCGGTTGAAGTGACACACTGCACAGCTCTCCCGGCGGCGCAACGTGTGTGAGACCGAAAGAGAGGGGCAGAGGTGGGGAGAGAGAAAGGGAGGAAAGGGGGAGGGGTGGAGAGAGAGAGAGAGAGAGAGAGAGAGAGAGAGAGAGAGAGAGAGGACTCTTTTTCATCCTCGTCCACCAGCAACACCCCCTCGCATCATACGCACTCTCCCGCCCCATTCACGCGGAAAATAGGTGGTCCGGGCTCTGGTCTGGGGTGAGCGCGGGGTGGGAAAGAGAGGGGGGAGAAGCAGAAGACCACCACCAACCCTCCCGCTTCGGCCGTGCTGCGCACTCTGGCGGCTACTAATCCTCGGGATCAGCCTGGCCTGCCCAGTGGTGGAGCAGTGCGGAGCGGCCGCCTGCTGGACTTGTGCGAGCGGGACGCGACACCTGCACGGCCACGGCCTTGAGCTACGCCCCCGTGTGTCCTCTTCGCTCTAATTAAATATAGAGCGGCCTTGCTCTCCCACCGCGTCCCATTTGGCTGATGAGGCTGATGATGGCCAGGTCCGACGTCCTTCTGCTCCTGGCGCCTCAGTCGGCTCAGCGCCGCACTCGGCTCCACACCTGCTCACGCCGAAGCTATTACGGTATTGGGGATTAATGTGTCACTTGAAGCTTACATCGCGTTCATTCTTGGCGTCCCCCTTTAATAAGGGTCGCGTAAAAAGGATGGTTCTCCACGGCACGGCACTTCATTGGTTATGATGATAAACACACAGGTCTATCGCAGGCAACATTTCAACCAGTGGGGTGGGTGACTTTTTAGATGATCCCCTCTCTTGTGGCCGTCTCTCCGAAAGCAAAAGTTTCCCGTTTCAGTTTCAGATTTGATAATGATTATTACCGATTGTTATCATATAACTTTTCACGAAACCAGAAGTACACTGTAAAAAGTTCTTGTCACGATGACGACAACGACAATACCATGGATAATTTTTAGTACAGAGACTTATGTATTGCCATGGGTTTTCTCATCAAATCCCCATTACTGATGACAAGAAACCTCGAGACGACATCTCTGAACTAAAAAATCAGCGATGGTAACGTCGTCATCGTAACAAGAAATTTTTACAGTGTATACTCGAAACTCAATTTAGGTGCTCTGAAAAAATTAATACCCCGACCGCTTTAAATAATTTTATTTGTGTCAGCGAGACCGAGACGGCCAATAGTTGGGCATATGTGATCAAAGTTAGGACTGGTCCGTAGAAACGATGAATAAGTTGTATCTTTTTGTTTTGTTTGTTTAAAAAACTTTTTTACATTTCCATCCTCCGAAAGAGAAAAGAGAAGGACTGAACTCTCAGCGTCCACGTCACAAACTCGCGGTTTGTCACGCGGGCGGTGGAGCTCTGCGGATCGGATACGTAGGAAAGAGCAAAGTAAGAGGGAGAGAGCGGGCGAGTCTGCAAACAAACACGGCTGAAGCGAGGGGTGAGAGAGGCCCGTCTGCTCTCATTTCACGTCTCATCGCGCACCACTACAAGCACCCCCTGTCCGTCCCCGGCCCAGTGTCACACCCACCAATCCGTCACGAGGCACGCGCCCAGCCAAACCTCAGAACACGACCCGCAAACTGAAAGAAAGCAAGAGAAAACAAGGCGGCTCTTTGCAGAAAATAATGTTGAATGAAAGTAAAATAATGAAAACCGTTGAGCACTTTTGTGGTAAATGGTCCTTTTTTTCAAATGATAGATCTCACAGTTTGACGCGCGATAAATTTATTTGGTCCTATTATATTTATTTGGTAACATGCTGACGCCCCAATTCAAATTACGAACGAATTGGGGCGTCAATATGTTACGAAAGGACCAAATAAATTTGATTTATTCGTATTCATAATCCGAAGTGACGTTCGAAATATTTTAAGAAATGCAAGCCATCCTGTAAAATAAAGGACCTAAAATACACAAATGACAAACTGACATGATCGCCGACCCCACAATAACAAGGAAGTTCACAAATACCAAAAGAAAAATAACAGGGAGTCAGCCTCTCTAGATAAACCTGTATTTAAATTCCAGGAAAGACCCTCGCTCCGGTCTGGTCCGCTGCCTGTCTTATTACTAATAGTTAGAAGGTACGTAGTGACGCGTAGGCCGGGCGTAACGATCGTGAAGTAGCACGAGCCCGCTGGAGGGCGTGGCGGGGCGGGGTGGGGCGGGGCGTGCCAGAGCAGCGGGGCGCAGCGGCGGCGGCGCGGCTCTGAGGTAGGAGGAGCATCATACCGCCCACAGGGACCGACCGCGGACGACCGCGTGCCACTGTAATGAGAGGCTGGGCCTCCTGGACCACGCCACGCCCCGCCACGCCACGAGCTGCCGCTTGCTGCTGCTGCTGCTGCTGCTGGACAGGCCGGTCAGACGCACGTCTCGCGAGCGGGGCGCGCGGAGGTGACAAGGAAAGTGTTGGTCGTGGGCATTATGCAGAGGAGCAACGCGATCTTCTCCTGGTCCGGTCCGGCCGGACGCCTCGGATACACTTATCTCTATCCCCGTGCGCTCGGCGGCGCCGCCGCCATCAAGGCCGCCGTGGCGCTGGTCGGCGAGACGCGCGATCGAGATTCAAGGTGGTGATGAGATTTTAAAGACAGCCTGATCACACAGCACGCCTTGTCCGGGAGATATCCACGCAAGTGCATCACGCCCGGCTGCCAGTTACGTGGCTCCGCTGCGTGCTGAGCGGATGCGCACGTGCGTGTGCGAGCCCTACGCGCGGACCGCAGCCGTCGAGAAGACGATCATCAAAATTTATCGCGCACGCAAGTTGTTGTTTAATTCTCCTCTCCGTCGACACTGTAGGTAGAAAAACAGTCGCTCCACCCAGATTCCTACCAATAGCGGCATTTTATTTATTTTTAGAAAAGGGTCACAATGGGAATTTTAATTATAGAACAATTGATATTGTGGGTAATGTTGGCACATAAAGATCAGCCGACCAAGCTTAGCTAAACAGTAAAATTTTATCTTGGTTTTGAAGCAGCTGCGCGTGAAAGACGTTGAATACCGCATCTGATTGCAGTGCAAAACTTTTTGAAAACGATGTTGGCGATCATGGTGGTTTTCCCCCATTGAAAGTGTGTGTACCGCGGACGAAAAGTGAGTTTGCAGAGAAGTTATCCTTTTGTCTTTGCCGATGCAAACTCGAGGGGAGTGTGGAACGTGCCCGGCGCGATGCCTCTGACCGCGGGGGGGCACCCGCCCGCCCGCCGAGCCCCGCCACCCTTTTGTCGCCGCCTCACGCCCGCCGCGGGGGGCCCCACCCGCGCGCCGCGAGCACGCCCCGGGCGCCCCGCCCCACTCCGCCCTGGGCACGCGCCGGAACAGTACGGGCTCCGACTGGAATGCTAGAGCCGCACGAGCTACCACCGCCGGTGAAGGGAGGGAAAGGTCCACATCAGTCAGGGGAACGTCATTGTGAATAATTGACCCGCGCGGGTACCAACCCTTGGCTCTAAATGAGGAGGTACAGTAGTTCTATATCTAGCTTATCTAGCGTGTTTGAGAAGCACATCACAATCAGATACAAATTTGTGTATGGCAGATAAAGGCATGAAGGCTACGTATATTTATCTCAGAGACGCAAATTTGCATCTGGTCGTGACGACGGCCGAAAGCCACACATCGAATTGTAAAGCCATCAAGGCACAAGATTTTACCCATCCCCATTTCTAGTTTAGGGACGGCCCCGGGCCGCGGGGGTCGTCGCCACTGGCGCCACTTACCACCCGCCCAGGCCGCAACGAGGCGGGCGCGGCGCGCGTGCGGTCTGGGGCGCGGGGCGGCGGCGGGGCGGCGCGAGCGCGGTGCGTCGCGCGACAAACAAGACCACCGTAACTCTGAAGGGTCGCGCCTGACGGACAACAACAACGGCACGCTCTGCTGCAGCGCGCGGCCGTGGGAGGGCCGCTGGGGAGGGACACAGATATGGTTGTTGGGACGTCTAGTACTCGTAGTCATTCACATACACATGGAAAATGTATCGTTCATTTTTCATTTTCATAATTTTATTATTGCGTATGACATGTAAACACTCCATAGATAGATAGCCAGGTGAACACGAAAACAGCGTATGCGGAGTGTGCACCTGCCAATGTGCTCGGTAAGTATCCACTACATTTAGAGCAAGAATACTTGCCGCGAATTGCGCAAAAGTATACATACACTATTTACTTGTAGGAGTTGCGCCGAAAATACTGAAATACACACTTGGTTTATTTGGGAGAGCAGGCGGCTGGCGCCAGGCTTGCGCTGACACGGCGCTGACCTGGTGCCGCGCGACACCGCCGCAGGGCTGGCGGGGCTGGCGGGGCCCGAGGGCGGCCCGAACCCATCTGCCTGCCCGGCCGACCGTGAGGACTGTGAGAGCACCGCGCGCCACTCCCCGCCACTCCGCGCTTGGTCCATTTTCCAATTGAAATCCCCGCTCGCGAGCGCGGCGCAGGCACCGTGCAGCACCTCGTGCTCGTGACACTAAGCCCCGCCGCCGCTCCTCGCATACGCTCTCCTCCTTTTGGACCCCCATACTCAGATAACCACTCCTTTGCGGAAAAGAAATTGTATTTCCTGTTACGAAAATTTCACGTTGGAAATCAGTCATATTTTTAGTTCGGGTATGACGAAAAAATTATTACAGTACAGATGTTTTCACAAATTTTGATGGAAAATTTCATTGACAAAAATATGATTTTGTTCCCAGAAAGATATAAGGTTTTTTGAGTAAAAGACGCGCACAAAAAAACGCACTCCTATACCACCGACACTGGCATACTCGCGAACAGCTGTGAAACTTTCATTTTGGAACATTTCGCCTGGTTACTTTCTTGCTGTAATATTTCGCATTCGCACACAAAGACCGACTGCCACGCTCTACTATAACGCCGACACAATCCGAACCTGTCGATCTAAGGAGGAAGAGCAGCAGTGCCTCAGCTGCTCCGCCCGCTTCACCCCCCCCCTCTCTTCCGATTCCCGAGACTGAATTTAAAAACAACTTCATACTTGGTTTATCAGCAATCGCCCTCTGATGCGGGGTTGCGCGCCTTCCGACCCCGGCGCGGCGGCGCCGAGCGGCAGGGGTTGAAGCGCGCCGACGACGACAACGCTTCTGCTCGCCGCTGCAAAAAGTCCATTGTCAAGTCACACAAAAAGATTTTTTGAAGACGACACGACGACGCGCAAGACGCAAAGCCCTTTTCTTGAGAAAGCCAGTCGTATTGTAAAAAAGAATGCAAGGGTGAAAACGATTTTGAAAAAAAGTTTATAGTAGGAGAAATGAACCGCGTGGGTTTTCTGTCTGAAGAAAATAAAAGGGGTCATTGAGTCCTCCTCGCGAGCGACGTGTGGGTAAAGAGCCATGTGGTTGCCGCAAAGGGTTAGCCAGCCCCGTCATTAGCACTTTTAACTTTACATTCAAGTGCAAATCCCTGAAAGCAAAACCAGGAGGATGATCGCCCCCGGGGGGTCCGCACTCCGCGGCGCGCCGGGCGCGCTCTCCCATTGATATTTCACTTGACACACCGACACCCTTTCCCTGTCGGATTCCGATCAGCTGTTTGGCCTCCTCCCCTCCCCAGCTGTCGAGGCCCGCCGAGGCTTTTTGCGTGCGCCCCCCTCCCTCCTCTCTCTCTCAATCGTATGCACATCCGGGCTGTGGACCCATATAATTTGGAACACAGCGCGAGCCACAAAAACAGAGAGAGAGAGAGAGAGAGAGAGAGAGAGAGAGAGAGAGAGAGAGAGAG